AAGGCAACCTGACTTGGATCTGCGCGCATCATTTGAAAATACATCACACAGTCCTAGATGCTTGAGAAGTGTTCGACTTGAGATTTTGTGATACTAAATCCAGCATAGAGATCTCGTTTGCTATAACATAGTGTGCTTTTGTGTCAGTAAAATAATAATAGCCAAGCTACTACAAATGCACAACCTTTGTAATGATTCGCCATCTCCTTTACATTCATGGCCCAAAAGCTGTCCACCCTATCTTGGAAAAGAAAGAGACAACACCATCAAGGGAAAAGGGGATGAGTCACAACAGTTGCAACCCTGCCATTTTTTGAATGGGGAGGAGGACAAGGCTGCCAACACGAAGATCAGAGGTTGAACTCGCACACAGAATGGGAGTGACACACCCCACAAGCAAGATGTGCCTTTTCAAACCACGACTTTGCCCCTTGAGACAGTGCTTATCAGATATTATTGGGGGGAATAACAGTCCTCTCCCCGTGCAAATTCGCAGAGTAAAGGTCGGAACAAGGAGTGGAATTAGAATCCCTCTCTGCCTCCTTATTGCACAGAGCACAAGAAGTTGCCCAAGAGCTTCCAAAGTCCTTGCAGATAGGCTTAGATAGGCTTAGATAGGGATCAAAGCAGGAAAATCTTCACACACATATCTGCATACATCCCATCAACAATGCCAAACACCTTCACCTGCAAAGGTCCCCCAAACCAATCTCGGAAGAAAGCTAACCTAGTCTGGGAAGGGGAGCTTCCTATCCTATTGCTTCCTAAGAAAAGAGGAAGACAGTGAAGGAAAACTGGGCTTTGGGCTCTAAGGAGATGCTGTTGCACACAAATAAATATAATAATAACAACAATGACACTGGCTCTTCTTTACTGAGGGAGGGAAAGTGCCTCGTTCTTAGAAGGGACAAATTGAGACCCATTATTATTATTATTATTATTATTATTATTATTATTATTATTATTCCACTTTTATCTATCAACCCAGAACCAAAGTGGCTAAAACATTTTTAAAAAGAACAATGACATTTAAAATATACAAATATTAAAATAGAATTAGGGCTATGTTAGTCGTAATCACTTAAAACATATTAAAGACTGTTCGAATAATCAGTTTCCTACTTGCTTCCTCTTGAAAATTTCCCTTTTATGATAATACAGAGCCTTCTATGGGGGGGGGGGGGGGGAGACACAAAAATAGTCTTCTTTATGGATAGGGGATAGAGGAGGAAGATAATGACCCATTATTATTATTACTATTATTATTACTATTATTATTACTATTATTATTACTATTATTACTATTATTACTATTATTACTATTATTACTATTATTATTATTATTATTGAGAGGGTCAAATAGAGGGTCCTTTATTTTTTGCTGGGGGAGACAAAAGTGTTGCCTTGGGGGTGGGATAGAGACTCTTCCTCTTTGGAAAGGGGTCTTTTACCCCTTCCAGACTTCCCTAACTAAGGTGGAAAGGGATCCTTCTTTCCAAGACTAAACTCCCCTTAAATTTGGGAAGGGGCATAAGGCTTTTTTTTTCCTTTGGGGAGGTCTTTTCAGGACAGGAACCCTTTCATGCAATACAGCCCTCTTTTTACGAGGAGGCTCCTCAAAGAGACCCTGACTCTCCTTTTCTGGGGAAAGGGATATACAATCCTCATTTTGGAAGGAATAAAGCCTCCTCTTTTAGAGTCAGAGTTGACCTTGTGGGCCATCCAGTCCAACCCCATTATGCCAAGAAGCAAGAAAATCTCGTTCAAAGCACCCCTAACAGATAGCCATCTAGCCTCTACTTAAAAGCCTCCAAAGAAGGAGCCTCCACCACAGACCAGGGCAGAGAGCTGCACTACTTAACAGCCTTCACAGTTAGAAAGTTCTTCCTAATGTTCAGGTGGAATCTCCTTTCCTGTAGTTTGAAGCCATTGTTCCGCGTTCCTCTTAGGTCCCTTCTTCCTTCCATACCCCAACAGACACCCCGCCCCAAAAAGCCAATCTATTTGGGACGCGTTTCCAAGACCTGCCTCCGCATCAATTGGGAAGATCTTTTCTTCAAGGGGTAGTAACCTAATTGGGGGGGGGGGGGGTCTTTTAATGTTGACTCCCCTTTAAAATGGAATAAAGTATTTTCTTAAGAGGGGGATTCTAAGCTCTTTAAAAAGACGTCACATTCTCCCCTTTATAAGGGGGCTGCCTTCCTTCCTCCTTCCATTAATAAATAATAATAATAATAGTAATAGTAATTGTATTCTTATTATTATATGCAGGTGCTTTTATGTGAAGCCACTTTGAGTCTCCTTTGTGGAGACTCAAAGCAGGGAATAAATAAATAAATAAATAATAATAATAATAATAATGGCAGGTGGGTACTTTTCTGTGAAGCCGCTTTGAATCTCCTTTGGGGGAGATAAAGTGGGAATAAATAATAATAATAATAATAATAATAATAATAATAATAATAATGGCATGTGGGTGCTTTTATGTGAACCTGCTTTGAGTGTCCTTTGGGAGAGATAAAGTGGGGAATAAATTATTATTATTATTATTATTAATAATAATAATAATAATAATATGCTGGTGCTTTTATGTGAAGCTGCTTTGAGTCTCCTTTGGGAGAAATAAAGTGGGGAATAAATAATAATAATAATAATAATAATAATAATAATAATAATAATAATATGCTGGTGCTTTTATGTGAAGCTCCTTTTAGTCTCCTTTGGGAGAGATAAAGAGGGGAATAACTAAATAAATAACAACAATAAGATGATGTTTTGATGTGAAGTTGCTTTGAATCTCCTTTGGGGAAGATAAAGTGGGGAATTAATAATAATAATAATAATAATAATAATAATAATAATAATAATAATGCTATGCTGGTGCTTTGGTGTGAAGCTGCTTTGAGTCTCCTTTGGGAGAAATAAAATGGGGATATAAATAAATATTATATTATTATTATATATAATATATAAAATAACTGCATATAATATAATAATAATCATTGTATTCTGGTGCTTTTATATGAAGCCGCTTTGAGGTTCCTTTGGGAGAGATAAAGTGGGGAATAAATAATAATAATAATAATATGCTGGTGCTTTTATGTGAAGTCGCTTTGAGTTTCCTTTGGGAGAGATAAAGACGGGTATAAATAAATATTATAATATTATTATAGATAATATATAAAATAACTGTATATAATATAATAATAATATATTATAATAATAATAATGGTGCTTTTATGTTAAGTCGCTTTGAGGCTCCTTTGGGAGAAATAAAGCAGGAATTTAATAATAATAATAATAATAATAATAATTGCATGCTGGTGCTTTTATGTGAAACTGCTTTGAGTCTCCTTTGGGAGAGATAACACAAGATATAAATCAATAGAAACATTATAGTAATATGTAATAAAATTACATAATAGATAATAAAATAATAAATATATAATATACATTATAATAATAATATATTAACACAATAATACTAATACATAACATATAATATAATAAATAAATAATATACACTATAATAATATAGTATATTAACATAATAATACTAATACATAATGCATAATATAATTAATAAATAATATACACTATAATAATATAGTATATTAACATAATAATAGCAGTAATAATAATATTAATAATTTTAATATATACTATAATAATACTAATATAGTAGCATAATAATACTAATACATATAGTAGCATAATAATACTAATACATAACATATAATACAATTAATAAATAATATAAATATAATATGAAATTAATATAAAATAAGTAATATAAAATATATAATATATAAAATAAATGTAATATGAAATATAATGTGAAATTAATATAAAATAAGTATAATATGAAATAATATAGTTATTAACATAATAATACTAATACAGAATATAATACATAATATAATAAATAATATACACTATAATAATACAGTTAATTAACATAATAATATAGTATATTAAGATAATAATACTAATATATGATAAATAAATAATATACACTATAATAATATAGCATATTAACATAGTAATACTAATACATGATATAATAAATGATATACACTATAATAATACAGTATATTAACCTAATGAGAGCAGTAATAGTCATAGTATGCACAGCAAGTATAACCACTATCATAATGGTGTAATATATCACATAATATACTAATAACATAATAAATATAATAATATTACATTATAACAAATATACTTATTATTATATAATAGTAATACATATATACATATTACATACCTATTAATTAATTTGTTTAGTTATTATTAACATTATGTAATTAGTAATACACTAATATAATAAATACAAAAATAATATATTAACACAATAATACTAATACATAACATATAATATAATAAATAAATAATTACACTATAATAATATAGTTATATTAACATAATAATACTAATATACATAATATAATAATATATATACACTAAATAATACATAAACATATATATAATAATAAATAATATACACTATAGTAATATAGTATATTAACATAATAATACTAATACTTATATAGCATATTAACATATAATAAATAATATACACTATAGTAATATAGTATATTAACATAATAATACTAATACTTAATATAATAAATAATATACACTACAATAATATATTAACATAATAATACTAATACATAATATATAATATAATAAATAATATACACTATAATAATATAGTTATTAACATAATAATACTAATACAGAATATAATACATAATATAATAAATAATATACACTATAATAATACAGTTAATTAACATAATAATATAGTATATTAAGATAATAATACTAATATATGATAAATAAATAATATACACTATAATAATATAGCATATTAACATAGTAATACTAATACATGATATAATAAATGATATACACTATAATAATACAGTATATTAACCTAATGAGAGCAGTAATAGTCATAGTATTACTAATATGAGGGGCCAGGCCTTGTGTACCTGAAGGGCGCCTCCTCCTGCTCCTCGTCCTCCTCGGCCTTGGCGTCCCCGGCGCCCCTGCGGCCTGGTCTGCCCTTCATCTGGGCTTCGGGGCTCCTGGCGGGCCCTCCTGGCTGCCTCCGACACTCCGCCATCTTCGCCTCACGCTCCGTTGCTAGGCGAAGCGGGGAGCGAGGGGGGTGAAAACTCCGCCTCCCGGACGCCGTAGGCTAAATAAGGCAAGCGCATGCGCACAGCCCCGGGGAAAAGCGTCCTCCCGGCGCCACCTGCAGGACGGAGAGGGAACTACAGGCGGGGAGGAAAAATTGTCTGCCCGCGGTGCATGATGGGAGGACGTGCTCCTGAAAAAGGAAGGGCGGGGGAGGGAGGGAGGGAGCCAGGAGTTAACCCTTTCGGCGCCGGAGTTTTTTTGTTTTGTTTTCTTTTGCAGCTTTGAATGGATTTTCACTGTGAATTTTAATATAGTTTACATGTATTTTTGTCTTAATGTCTGAGTATGTGTATGTATTTCAATTATAAATATAAATATAGCAACAATAAAAATATAATAATATAATATAAATAATATATATAATTATAAATAATTAATATTTAATTTAATTAATATTTAAATATTAATTAATATTAAATAATATTAATATTAATATTAAATAAATATTAAATAATTAATATTTAAATATTAATTAAATTAATATTTAATTAATAAAATATATAATTATAAATAATATAAATTATTATTATTTTAAAACATATTAAAATAATATTATTATTAATAATAATATTATTATTATTAATAATATTATAATAATATTATTATAATAATATTATTATAATTTATTTATTTATTTATTTATTTAATACACTTGTATACCGCTAATATCTCAGCCTAAATCGGCGACTCATTGCGGTTTACAGCAATTAAAAGCAATGTACAATTTAAAACAACAACACGTAAACAATACAAATTATTGGGCCACCAATAATAATACCATGCTTCTCGTCACAAATAATATTATTAATTATTATAATAATAATATTATTAATAATAATAATAATAATAATAAATTCCAAATAATTTGCAAAAGCAAACTTTTTTGTGTATTATTTATTTTGCAACTTTGAATATGTTTGAATAGATTTTAACTATTAGTTTTAATCCTGTTTACATATAATTCTGTCTTAATGTCTGAGTATGTGTATGTATTTAAATTATAGATATAAATATAGCACCAATAAAAAGATAATATTATAATATAAATGGATTTTAACTATTAGTTTTAATACTGTTTACATGTATTTTTGTATTAATGTCTAAGTATGTGTATGGTTCAAGATTGGGAAAGGCGTACGGCAAGGCTGCATCCTCTCACCCAACCTTTTTAACTTGTATGCAGAACACATCATGCGATGTGCGGGGCTGGATGAATGCAAAGCTGGGGTGAAAATTGCTGGAAGAAACATTAACAACCTCAGATATGCAGATGACACCACTCTGATGGCCGAAAGCGAGGAGGAGCTGAGGAGCCTTCTAATCAAGGTGAAAGAAGAAAGCACAAAAGCCGGGTTGCAGCTAAACGTCAAAAAAACCAAGATTATGGCAACAAGAATGATTGACAACTGGAAAATAGAGGGAGAAACCGTGGAGGCCGTGACAGACTTTGTATTTCTAGGTGCAAAGATTACTGCAGATGCAGACTGTGGCCAGGAAATCAGAAGACGCTTACTTCTTGGGAGGAGAGCAATGTCCAATCTCGATAAAATAGTCAAGAGTAGAGACATCAGACTGGCAACAAGATCCATTGCCTAGTCAAAGCCATGGTATTCCCTGTAGTCACCTACGGATGTGAGAGCTGGACCTTCGGGAAGGCTGAGCAAGGAAGATTTTGAACTGTGGTGTTGGAGGAAAATTCTGAGAGTGCCTGAAGAAGATTCAACCAGTCCATACTTCAGGAAATAAAGCCCGACTGCTCATTGGAGGGAAGGATATTAGAAGCAAGGATGAAGTACTTTGGCCACATCATGAGAAGACAAGAAAGCTTAGAGAAGACAATTATGATGGGGAAATGGAAGGAAAAAGGAAGAGGGGCCGACCAAGGGCAAGATGGATGGATGGCATCCTTGAAGTGACTGGCTTGACCTTGAAGGAGCTGGGGGTGGTGACGGCCGACAGGGAGCTCTGGCGTGGGCTGGTCCATGAGGTCACGAAGAGTCGGAGACGACTGAACGAATGAACAACAACATGTGTATGTATTTCAATTATAAATATAAATATAGCAACAATAAAAATATAATAATATAATATAAATTATTATTATTTTAAAACATATTAAAATAATACATATAATAATAATAATAATAATAATAAATTCCAAATAATTTGCAAAAGCAAACTTTTTTGTGTATTATTTATTTTGCAACTTTGAATATGTTTGAATAGATTTTAACTATTAGTTTTAATACTGTTTACATATAATTCTGTCTTAATGTCTGAATATTTGTATGTATTTAAATTATAAATATAAATATAGCAACAATAAAAAGATAATAATATATAAATTATTATTTTAAAACATATTAAAATAATACATATAATAATAATAATTTCCAAATAAATTCCAAAGGAAATTTTTTGTGTATTATTTATTAATGTCTGAGTATGTGTATGTATTTAAATTATAAATATAAATAATAGCAACAATAAAATATAATAATATAATATAAATTATTATTTTAAAACATATTAAAATAATACATATAATAATAATAATTATTATTATTATTATTTCCAAAGGAATTTTTTGTGTATTATTTATTAATGTCTGAGTATGTGTATGTATTTCAATTATAAATATAAATATAGCAACAATAAAAAGATAATAATATAATATAAATTATTATTATTTTAAAACATATTAAAATAATACATATAATAATAATTTATTTATTTTGCAGCTTAAGATATGTTTTAATTGATTTTAACTATGAGTTTTAATACTGTTTAGTGTTTACATATAATTCTGTCTTAATGTCTGCATATTTGTATTTATTTAAATTATAAATATAATAAATATAACAATAAAATAGAATAATATAATATAAATTATTATAATAAAACATATAATAATATAATATTATATAATTATATAATATAATATAATAATAAAACATATAATATTGTAGTAAAAATAACAATGATTTCCAAAGGCAAACTTTTTTGTGTATTATTTATTTTGCAGCTTTGAATATGTTTGAATGGATTTTAACTATTCGTTTTAATACTGTTTACATATAATTCTGTCTTACTGTGTGCATATTTGTATGTATTTAAGTTATAAATATAATAAATATAACAATTACATTATAAATATAATAAATAAAACAATAAAATATAATACTATAATATAAAGTATTATAATAAAACATATAATACATATTATTATTATTATTATTATTATTATTATTATTATTATAAAAATAAAAATTTCCAAATAATTTCCAAAGGCAAACTTTTTTGTGTATTATTTATTTTGCAACTTTGAATATGTTGAATGAATTTTAATTATTAGTTTTAATATTGTTTGTATATAATTCTGTCTTAATGTTTGTATATTTGCATGTTTTTAAATTATACTTTTAATCATAAGCCACTTTGAGTCTCCTTTGGGAAAGATAAAGCAGGGTATAAATAAATATAATAATAATATTGTTTAAAATAACAATAATAAATATAATAATAATACATATAATAATAATACTCTATTATTATCTATATCAAACGTTTTTGCTTCATAAGGACACTCAAAGTGGCTAACATTAAAGGCATTACATAACATATCAATATAATAATGTTAATATAATAATTTTAATATAATAACCATATAATGTGAATATAATATTCATATAATAGCACTCTACCTCAGTAAGGTAATGCTCAAGATCCTTCAAGGAAGACTCCAGCAATACATGGAGCGAGAGTTGCCAGATGTTCAAGCTGGGTTCAGAAAAGGCAGAGGAACGAGAGACCAGATTGCCAATATCCGCTGGATAATGGAGAAAGGCAAGGAGTTTCAGAAAAACATCTATGTCTGTTTTATTGACTACTCTAAAGCCTTTGACTGTTTGGATCATAATAAATTGTGGTAAGTTGTTGGTGGTATGGGGATACCAAGCCACCTTGTCTGTCTCCTGGGGAATCTGTATAACGACCAAGTAGCAACAGTAAGAACTGACCATGGAACAACTGATTGGTTCAAGATTTGGAAAGGAGTACAGCAGGGCTGTACACTCTCAACCAACCTTTTCAACTTGTATGCAGAACACATCATGCGATGTGCGGGGCTGGATGAATGCAAAGCCGGGGTGAAAATTGCTGGAAGAAACATTAACAACCTAAGATATGCAGATGACACAACTCTGATGGCCGAAAGCGAGGAGGAGCTGAGGAGCCTTCTAATCAAGGTGAAAGAAGAAAGCGCAAAAGCCGGGTTGCAGCTAAACGTCAAAAAAACCAAGATTATGGCAACAAGAATGATTGACAACTGGAAAATAGAGGGAGAAACCGTGGAGGCCGTGACAGAGTTTGTATTTCTAGGGGCAAAGATTACTGCAGATGCAGACTGTAGCCAGGAAATCAGAAGACGCTTACTTCTTGGGAGGAGAGCAATGTCCAGTCTCGATAAAATAGTGAAGAGTAGAGACATCAGACTGACAACAAAGATCCGCCTAGTCAAAGCCATGGTATTCCCTGTAGTCAACTACGGATGTGAGAGCTGGACCTTAGGGAAGGCTGAGCGAAGGAAGATCGATGCTTTTGAACTGTGGTGTTGGAGGAAAGTGCTGAGAGTGCCTTGGACTGCGAGAAGATCCAACCAGTCCATCCTCCAGGAAATAAAGCCCGACTGCTCATGAGGGAAGGATACTAGAGACAAAGTTGAAGTACTTTGGTCACATCATGAGGAGACAGGAAAGCCTGGAGAAGACAATTATGATGGGGAAAGTGGAAGGTAAAAGGAAGAGGGGCCGACCAAGGGCAAGATGGATGGATGGCATCCTTGAAGTGACTGGACTGACCTTGAGGGAGCTGGGGGTGGTAACGGCCGACAGGGAGCTCTGGCGTGGGCTGGTCCATGAGGTCACGAAGAGTCGGAGACGACTGAACGAATGAACAACAACAACATAATAGCACTCTATAACATTAAGATGTTTATTCCTGGGTTATAAATGTCATTTCCTAATTGGTTCTATCATTAAAAAAATAGGGAAATGGTTTATTAAACTGCAAAAAACTTCGTTGTTGTGGAACATCCTGCAGCACATTTTGCTCTAGTTTTCCAATGAATATCTCATCATCTTATGTGTTTCAACATAGTACGTGCCACAAATACAAAGTTTCTTGAGTAGAGCAACTACTTTCAAAATAAGGACTACACAATTAAACAGGAAATGACACTTTCAAACCAGGAACAGAAATGTTTTCAAATTCTTTTCCTGCAGCTGTGCTACCTGTGCATAAGGCCCCGCAAAGTGAGCACACCTGCCTTGACTCCTTATAGTATTTAATTGGTCCTCCAGCTGCTGACAGTGAAAGGCAATGCTTCCTTCAAAGGGATGGAATATATCGGATTCTGCATTTTGTGGCATTTGTTCCCATTCATATGCATTCCAAACTCCACTCTGCAAAGATTCTGTAGTAGTGAGAAAAGCAGGAATGATGATGACGATGATAATTGGTGATGACAATAAACTTACTTACTTAGGCGATCCCTCGTAGTCCGAGTAAGATTGTCCTCCAAGTTCGGTATCCTGGTGGTAGGTCCGTAGGTGACTGTGGAGCCCTATTCTTGATCTGCACCTTCTCCCATAGTGAGGGCATGGGCTTCCAGGTGGAAGGCGGTCCTGGTCGGGGTTGGCGTGACGCACCTCCTTCCTCTTGGCACGTTTCTCTCTTTCACCCTCCATTCGTGCCTCGTCGAATTCCACAGCACTGCTGGTCACAGCTGACCTCCAACTGGAGCGCTCAAGGGCCAGAGCTTTCCAGTTCTCAGTGTCTATGCCAGAGTTTTTAAGGCTGGCTTTGGGCCGTCTTTCAATCTCTTTTCCTGTCCACCAACATTCCGTTTTCCGTTCTTGAGTTCGAAGTAGAGCAACTGCTTTGGAAGACGGTGGTCAGGCATTTGGACAACGTAGGCAGGCCAGCGAAGTTGATGGCAGAGGAACATCGCTTCAATGCTTGTGGTCTTTGCTTCTTCCAGCACACTGACGTTTGTCTGCCTGTCTTCCCTAGAGATTTGCAGGATTTATCAGAGGCAACGCTGGTGGAATCGTTCCAGGAGTTGCATGTGACGTCTGTAGACAGTCCACGTTTCACAGGCATAGAGCAGGGTTGGGAGGACAATGGCTTTATAAACAAGCACCTTGGTCTCCCTACAGATGTCCTGGTCCTCAAACACTCGGAAGAATGCTGCACTCGCAGAGCTCAGGCAGTGTTGTATTTCAGTGTCAATGTTGACCTTTGTGGAGAGGTGGCTGCCACAGGAGGGTTGGGAGGACAATAGCTTTATTTATTTATCGTGTCATCAGCAACCATTGTATTACAATTCTAACAGAGCAAAACAAACACAGAGATTAAAAAGAAAAAGAAAAAAAAGAAAGGAAAAAAAAACCACACAGATTTTGTAAATTTGGTATTTGGTTAAATGTCCTTTGACCAGTATCTGGCCCCTTGGAGTGCCTCTGGTGTTGCCGCAAGAAGGTCCTCCATCGTGCATGTGGCAGGGCTCAGGGTGCATTGCAGCACGTGGTCAGTGGTTGGCTCTTCTCCGCACTCGCATGCCGAGGATTCCACCCTGTAGCCCCATTTCTGAAGGTTGGCTCTGCATCTCGTGGTGCCAGAGCGCAATCTGTTCAGCGCCTTCCAAGTCGCCCAGTCTTCTGAGTGCCATGGGGGGACTCTCTCATCTGGTATCACCCATGAATTGAGGTGCTGGGTTTGGGCCTGCCACTTTTGGACTCTCACTTGCTGAGGTGTTCCAGCAAGTGTCTCTGTAGATCTAAGAAAACTATGTCTTGATTTAAGTCGTTGACATGCTGGCTGATACCCAAACAGGGATGAGCTGGAGATGTCTCTGCCTTGGTCCTTTCACTATTGGCTGCTACTTCCCGGCGGATGTCAGGTGGTGCAATACCGGCTAAGCAGTGTAATTTCTCCAGTGGTGGAGGGCGCAGACACCCCGTGATAATGCGGCATGTCTCATTAAGAGCCACATCCACTGTTTTAGTGTGGTGAGATGTGTTCCACACTGGGCATGCATACTCAGCAGCAGAGTAGCACAGCGCAAGGGCAGATGTCTTCACTGTGTCTGGTTGTGATCCCCAGGTTGTGCCAGTCAGCTTTCGTATGATATTGTTTCTAGCACCCATTTTTTGCTTGATGTTCAGGCAGTGCTTCTTGTAGGTCAGGGCACAGTCCAGAGTGACTCCCAGGTATTTGGGTGCGCTGCAATGCTCCAGTGGGATTCCTTCCCAGGTGATCTTCAGAGCTCAGAATGCTTGTCTGTTCTTGAGATGAAAGGCACGTGTCTGTGTTTTAGATGGATTAGGGATCAGCTGGTTTTCCCTGTAATAGGCAGTAAGAGCACCTAGAGCTTCGGAGAGCTTCTGTTCTACCATCTCAAAGCTCCCTGCTTGAGCAGTAATGGCACGATCATCAGCATAGATGAAGCTCTTTGTCCCTTCTGGCAGTGGCTGGTCATTTGTGTAGATGTTGACCATTGATGGAGCGAACACATTCCCCTGAGGCAGGACGTTCTTCTGTTTCCGCCATTTGCTTCTCTGGCCCTGGAACTCAACAAAAAAGCTCCTGTTTTGTAGCAGGTTTCCTATGGTGGGTGAGGTGGTAGTCCTTTGTGATATTATACATTTTTCTCAGGAGGAGGCGGTGGTTCACAGTATCATAAGCCGCTGACAGGTCTATGAAGACAGCTCCTGTGATCTGCTGCCTTTCAAAGCCATCTTCTATGTGCTGAGTCAGGTTCAGCACTTGCGATGTGCAGCTTCTGACTTTCCTGAAGCCAGCTTGCTGTGGGATCAGACAGAGGTCCATATTTTCCATAATTCTATGCAAAATAATTCTCTCCAGAACTTTGTAGAGGTGGCACAACAGGGAGACTGGTCTATAGCTTTTTGGATAATTATGGTCTTTGCCTGGTTTCAAGATGGCGATGACTCTTGCTTTCCTCCAGATTTTGGGGATCTGACAGGATGCAGTGCCGTTGTTCATCAGCTCCAGCAGCCAGCGCAGGGCTTGCTTTTGGGCCAAAGTTCTTGATTTGTTCCATCTGTAGATCATTTTTCTGAATGTGCACAGACGACGTTGTGCCGAACTTCTTGTATGCTTCTGTGGAGGTGTTTAGAGTGGTTTGTAGGTCTTCTGAATGTGCACAGACTGTGTTATCATCGGCATATTGGAGTTCTATAACAGATGTCGTTATAACCTTGGTTTTGGTATTCAGTCTGCTGAGGTTAAATAGCTTGCCATCTGTCCGATAGATGATTTCCACTCCGGTGGGAAGCTTCCCATCAACAAGGTGAAGTATCATAGCAATAAATGAGAATGATAATAATAGTATGGCAATGAGAAAAGAAGGAAAAATATTATTATTTCCAGATATCTATTCTCCAGAGGTTCTATGGCAGTGAAAATGCAGGAATAATATTAATACTAATACTAATAATTCTTTTTCCAATGTTGTGGAATCCCTTCCCATTGGCTAAGACACCTGGATAGAGCTTTTCCCTCCTAGGACTACACTTCCCGTGATGCTATGGGGCAAAAGGGGCGGGCCGCATACGTGTCTGCCGCAGACGGGCGGGCGCGTCGGCCAATGGAGCAGCGGGCGGGGCAACGCCTCGTCCAATCAGGAGCGACTGGCTGCTGCTGTTGCTTCCCCGGGGATTGTGCAGGGCTGGCTTGCAAGGCAAGGAAGCAGAGCAGCCAGGGCCATGAGTTCCAGCCGAAGGAGGAGGAAAACCAAGGAAGGAAGCCCTGCAGCAGGTACAAGCACCCCTCCAGGGACTGCAGCCCCCAGCAGACACACATGGCAAGGCTTCTCTATGGAGGATGATGGGAGTTGTAGTCCAAATGCAAGCATGCCCCTTTTTTTTTGTAAAGAGTGGCCTTTCTGTTCTTGGGTTTCTTCCCCTTTAAAAGCATACCTGATTCCAAAACAAATATATATTGTGTTGTATATATAGATATATAATATATTTACATATATGTGTGTGCACATACATATATGTGTATATATATATATACACACATACACATTATACATATATATACACATACACATTCATGGTCATATGCATACTCATATGTATGTGTCCACATATACTCATATAAATAGATGTGTGTGTGTGTATCTTCATGCATATAAATGTGTATATGCATAAATGTGTATGTCCATATATATACTCATATATATATATATATATGTGTGTGTGTGTGTCTGTGCATATGTATATGCTTAAATATGTGTGTGTAGTAACTTGTCTATGCTCATGTATACATATATGTATGTATATATATTTTCATGCATATAAATGTGTATATGCATAAATGTGTGTATGTCCATATATATACTCCTATATATATATATATATATATATATATATATATATATAGACACATATGCGTGTCTGTGCATATGTATATGCATAAATGTGTGCGCGTAGTAACTTGTCTATGGTCATGTATACATATATGTATGTATGTATATTTTCATGCATATAAATGTGTATATGCATAAATGTGTGTATGTCCATATATATACTCCTATATATATATATATATATATATATATATATATATATAGACACATATGCGTGTCTGTGCATATGTATATGCATAAATGTGTGCGCGTAGTAACTTGTCTATGGTCATGTATACATATATGTATGTATATATATTTTCATGCATATAAATGTGTATATGCATAAATGTGTATGTAGTACATGCATGTATATACTCAAATACAAATATACATATGTGTGTGTGTCCTCATATACTCATATAAATAGATGTGTGTATGTGCATAAATGTGTGTATGTGCATATATGTACTCACATATATACACACACGTGTGTCTGTGCATATATATGCATAAATGTGTGTGTATGTGCACATATACTCATATATATTATATGTATATGTTTACACATATGCATGTCTGTGCATATGTATATGCATAAATGTGTGTGTGTAGTAACTTGTCTATGCTCATGTATACATATATGTATGTATGTATATTTTCATGCATATAAATGTGTATATGCATAAATGTGTATGTAGTACATGCATGTATATACTCAAATACAAATACACATGTGTGTGTGTCAACATATACTCATATAAATAGATGTGTGTGTATGCATAAATGTGTGTATGTGCATATATACTCACATATATACACACACATATGCGTGTGTAGATATGTATATGCATAGAATCATAGAATCCTAGAATCCTAGAGTTGGAAGAGACCTCATGGGCCATCCAGTCCAACCCCATTCTGCCAAGAAGCAGGAATATTGCATTCAAAGCACCCCTGACAGATGGCCATCCAGCCCCTGTTTAAAAGCCTCCAAAGAAGGAGCCTCCACCACACTCCGGGGCAGAGAGTTCCACTGCTGAACGGCTCTCCCAGTCAGGAAGTTCTTCCTCATGTTCAGGTGGAATCTCCTCTCTTGGAGTTTGATGCCATTCCTCCATTGCGTCCTAGTCTCCAGGGAAGCAGAAAGGAAGCTTGCTCCCTCCTCCCTGTGGCTTCCTCTCATAAATGTATGTGTAGTAACTTTTCTGTATGCTCATGCAAATATATATGTGTGTGTGTATATATATTCATGCACATAAATGTGTATATGCATAGATGTGTATGTAGTGTGTGCATGTATACATTCAAATACAAATACACGTGTGTGTGCATATGTATATGCATAGATGTGTGTGTGTGCAGAAAAATAATGTTCATTTGTGGGATTAACATAACTCAAAAGTCACTGGACGAATTGACACCAAATTTGGACACAATATATCTCTCAGGCCAATGAGTGACCACCACTCATAAAACACTGAAAAACATAGCAGAAGAGACTTAAAAGCCAAAAAAATAAATAAAATACATTACAACACATGTGCAAAACCACACATATATATACGCAAACACACAGACTGGGTCACAGCAACACGTGGCAGGGGATGACTGATGTATTTATACATACACACTCATGTTTATATAATATTCATATACATATATGTGTGTCCACATATACTCATATAAATAGATGTGTGTGCGTATCTTCATGCATATAAATGTGTATGTGTATAAATGTGTATGTGCATATATATACTCATATATATACATATGCGTGTCTGTGCATATATATCTGTATGCTCATGTATACACATATATGTGTGCATATATATTTTCATGCATATAAATGTGTAAATGCATAAATATGCATAAATAGTTTCAAAGTGGTAAACTTCAATCAAATATGAATGAATGGATGCATTTTATTATATGGTCACAGACCAGGAGTTTGAAACATTAAAGCATTAAAATCAGAAGTTCAAAACATTCAAAGCAGAAAGTCCAGCATATGCATGCAACCACAAAGGACCACAATTGTGTATATGCTTACTTATGTTTTATTGATTGCTTATTATGTTTTATATACATGTCTTTGGGTCCTTTTGGGGGTTCATATACAATTACATGTGCAATTTATTGATTGATTTAGTGGACAGATATGCATCCTAATCGGCTTCTTATACAATTGCACATGTTATTTATTTATTTATTTAGTACACAAATGCACCAAACACACATTAGCACATACAGCATTACTTCCATGTCTGTGTCCTTGCAAAGCATTTTTCTTAGTCTTCCGGTGTGACTCTAATAATCCTGGAAGTCCTCTATTTCCGTAGCTTTTTGCTATGATCTGTGCTTCGTTTTTGCAGAGCCACCAGGGTCCCAGAAGAAGCAGAAGCAGGTTCTGATCCACCAGGCGCTCCTGAAGGACCCCATAGACCTAGAAGGGCTGCGCCAAGCCGCCTTCAGCCGGGGAGGCCTTTTGGCCGATGAGATCCGGAGGAAGGTCTGGCCCAAACTGCTGGGGGTCAACGTCTACAGCCTGCCCCCCAAGCCAGGTAGAACCCCATTGGCTGCACTGGGAGGGGAGGGAGAGGGCAGGGGGCTGCCAGAGTCACATCATCATCATCATTATTATTATTATTATTATTATTATTATTATTATTATTATTCTGACACAAAAATACTGTATGTCACAGCAAACGAGATCTCTATGCTATCACAAAATCACAAGTCGAACACTTCCCAAGCGTCTAGGACTGTGTGATATATTTTCAAATGATGCGTGCAGGTCCAAGTAAGGTGGCCTGTTGTTGTTGTTGTTGTGTTGCATTGAGTTTTCAGGCAGTATGTGTTGGAAATCACAACCTTCTTCAAGCCTCCACTAATAATTTATTTGTATATTATTCTGTTTGCTTCCTGTATTGCATATGTATCTTTTGGTATGCAGCTTTCCTTTTACTCTATGTTTCTTGAGATTTTGGGAGGGGCTGCAGACCACATGATCAGATCTGAGACTGCTCAGAGCTCAGGCTCCATTAGACTTTGGACTGTTAAAAGCAAACTCATGTTGCTGTTGATTGTAAGAAAGCTGCCCTATGTTATGTTTTGGTATGCAGCTTTCCTTTTACTCTATGTTTCTTGAGGTTGTGGGAGGGGCTGCAGACCACATGATCCGATCTGAGACTGCTCAGAGCTCAGACTCCATGAGACTTTGTGTTAAGAGCAAACTCATGTTGCTGTTGATTGTAAGAAAGCTGCCCTATGTTATGTTTTGGTATGCAGCTTTCCTTTTACTCTATGTTTCTTTAGGTTGTGGGAGGGACTGCAGACCACATGATCAAATCTGAGACTGCTCAGAGCTCAGACTCCATTAGACTTTGGACTGTTAAGAGCAAACTCATGTTGCTGTTGATTGTAAGAAAGCTGCCCTGTGTTATGTTTTGGTATGCAGCTTTCCTTTTACTCTATGTTTCTTGAGGTTGTGGGAGGGACTGCAGACCACATGATCCGATCTGAGACTGCTCAGAGCTCAGACTCCATGAGACTTTGGACTGTTAAGAGCAAACTCATTTTGCTGTTAATTGTAAGAAAACTGCCCTATGCTATGTTTTGGTATGCAGCTTTCTTTTTACTCTATGTTTCTTGAGGTTGTGGGAGGGGCTGCAGACCACATGATCACATGGATGGCCCATGAGGTCTCTTCCAACTCTTTGATTTTGTGATTCTATGATCAGATCTGAGACTGCTCAGAGCTCAGACTCCATTAAACTTTGGACTGTTAAGAGCAAACTCATGTTGCTATTGATTGTAAGAAAGCTGCCCTATGTTATGTTTTGATATGCAGCTTTCCTTTTACTCTATGTTTCTTGAGGTTGCGGGAGGGACTGCAGACCACATGATCAGATCTGAGACTGCTCAGAGCTCAGACTCCATTAAACTTTGGACTGTTAAGTGCAAACTCATGTTGCTGTTGATTGTAAGAAAGCTGCCCTATGTTATGTTTTGGTATGCAGATTTCCTTTTACTCTATGTTTCTTTAGGTTGTGGGAGGGATTGCAGACCATATGATCAAATCTGAGACTGCTCAGAGCTCAGACTCCATTAGACTTTGGACTGTTAAGAGCAAACTCATGTTGCTGTTGATTGTAAGAAAGCTGCCCTGTGTTATGTTTTGGTATGCAGCTTTCCTTTTGCTCTATGTTTCTTGAGGTTGTGGGAGGGACTGCAGACCACATGATCCGATCTGAGACTGCTCAGAGCTCAGACTCCATTAGACTTTGGACTGTTAAGAGCAAACTCATTTTGCTGTTGATTGTAAGAAAGCTGCCCTATGTTATGTTTTGGTATGCAGCTTTCCTTTTGCTCTATGTTTCTTGAGGTGGGAGGGGCTGCAGACCACATGATCAGATCTGAGACTACTCAGATCTCAGACTCCATGAGACTTTGGACTGTTAAGAGCAAACTCATTTTGCTGTTAATTGTAAGAAAACTGCCCTATGCTATGTTTTGGTATGCAGCTTTCTTTTTACTCTATGTTTCTTGAGGTTGTGGGAGGGGCTGCAGACCACATGATCACATGGATGGCCCATGAGGTCTCTTCCAACTCTTTGATTTTGTGATTCTATGATCAGATCTGAGACTGCTCAGAGCTCAGACTCCATTAAACTTTGGACTGTTAAGAGCAAACTCATGTTGCTATTGATTGTAAGAAAGCTGCCCTATGTTATGTTTTGATATGCAGCTTTCCTTTTACTCTATGTTTCTTGAGGTTGCGGGAGGGACTGCAGACCACATGATCAGATCTGAGACTGCTCAGAGCTCAGACTCCATTAAACTTTGGACTGTTAAGTGCAAACTCATGTTGCTGTTGATTGTAAGAAAGCTGCCCTATGTTATGTTTTGGTATGCAGATTTCCTTTTACTCTATGTTTCTTTAGGTTGTGGGAGGGATTGCAGACCATATGATCAAATCTGAGACTGCTCAGAGCTCAGACTCCATTAGACTTTGGACTGTTAAGAGCAAACTCATGTTGCTGTTGATTGTAAGAAAGCTGCCCTGTGTTATGTTTTGGTATGCAGCTTTCCTTTTGCTCTATGTTTCTTGAGGTTGTGGGAGGGGCTGCAGACCACATGATCACATGGATGGCCCATGAGGTCTCTTCCAACTCTTTGATTCTGTGATTCTATGATCAGATCTGAGACTGCTCAGAGCTCAGACTCCATTAAACTTTGGACTGTTAAGAGCAAACTCATGTTGCTATTGATTGTAAGAAAGCTGCCCTATGTTATGTTTTGATATGCAGCTTTCCTTTTACTCTATGTTTCTTGAGGTTGCGGGAGGGACTGCAGACCACATGATCAGATCTGAGACTGCTCAGAGCTCAGACTCCATTAAACTTTGGACTGTTAAGTGCAAACTCATGTTGCTGTTGATTGTAAGAAAGCTGCCCTATGTTATGTTTTGGTATGCAGATTTCCTTTTACTCTATGTTTCTTTAGGTTGTGGGAGGGATTGCAGACCATATGATCAAATCTGAGACTGCTCAGAGCTCAGACTCCATTAGACTTTGGACTGTTAAGAGCAAACTCATGTTGCTGTTGATTGTAAGAAAGCTGCCCTGTGTTATGTTTTGGTATGCAGCTTTCCTTTTGCTCTATGTTTCTTGAGGTTGTGGGAGGGACTGCAGACCACATGATCCGATCTGAGACTGCTCAGAGCTCAGACTCCATTAGACTTTGGACTGTTAAGAGCAAACTCATGTTGCTGTTGATTGTAAGAAAGCTGCCCTGTGTTATGTTTTGGTATGCAGCTTTCCTTTTGCTCTATGTTTCTTGAGGTTGGGGAGGGGCTGCAGACCACATGATCAAATCTGAGACTACTCAGATCTCAGACTCCATGAGACTTTGGACTGTTAAGAGCAAACTCATTTTGCTGTTGATTGTAAGAAAACTGCCCTATGCTATGTTTTGGTATGCAGCTTTCTTTTTACTCTATGTTTCTTGAGGTTGTGGGAGGGGCTGCAGACCACATGATCACATGGATGGCCCATGAGGTCTCTTCCAACTCTTTGATTCTGTGATTCTATGATCAGATCTGAGACTGCTCAGAGCTCAGACTCCATTAAACTTTGGACTGTTAAGAGCAAACTCATGTTGCTATTGATTGTAAGAAAGCTGCCCTATGTTATGTTTTGATATGCAGCTTTCCTTTTACTCTATGTTTCTTGAGGTTGTGGGAGGGGCTGCAAACCACATGATTAGATCTGAGATTGCTCAGAGCTCAGACTCCATGAGACTTTGGACTGTTATGAGCAAACTCATGTTGCTGCTGATTGTAAGAAAGCCACCCTAGGTTATCTGCACAGAGGAACCACTTCAAAACCTATCTGTAACTGGATTGACAAGTTATGTGCCTGTATGCTGAATACATGAAAGTTGGGAGTAAACCAAATATGTTACTTTTAATGAAGTCTACTTCGTGTTTACCACTTGAGAGCATAATATAGAAACAAGGTGTTTTGTGGGAGAGTAGATGTTTTGGGGCACTGAGAATAATGTCCAGGGTGGGAGAAAGAAAGAACCTTTGTCTGTTTGAAACAAGTGTGAATGTTGCAATTAGCAAACTTGAATAGCATTGAGTAGCTGCAAAGTTAACACCACCCAAACGGAGGATGCCTCCAGGCAATAGAGCCCAGGCTACCTCTATGCAGATACCCTTACGGATTGACGTTGCAAGCCTCATGGCTACTCAATACTATTCAAGCTTGCTAACTGCAACATTATACAGACAAGGGTTCTTTCTCCCACCCTGGACATTCCATACATATATATACCCCCACTTGCTTGACTACTACCAGATCATCTGAGGATGCTTGCCACAAATGCAGGCGAAAGATCAAGAGAGAGTGCTGCTGCAACATAGCCATACAGCCCGAAAAACTCACAGCAACCCAGTGATTCCTGCCATGAAACCCTTCGACAACACATTATTATTATTATTATTATTATTATTATTATTATTATTATTATTATTCCATGCACATGACTTAGTGCTATGGGATCCTGGGAGTTCTTGTTTTACAAGGTCTTTGCTTTGCCAAAGAGGGCTGGTGCCTCTCCAAACTAAGGCTCCCAGATACCATAGCAGTTAAAATAGTGCCAAGCTATAGTAATGCTCCAGTTTAGATGCACCCTACACCCTAACAGATATGGAAGGCATAGGTAGCCATTAAACTGCTGTTGTATGTTGGGGGATGCTGGGAGTTGTAGCCCAAAAAGAAGTAAATAAACTCTAGGCTTTGGAATAAAAGCAGCCAGTTGAATCCAACTCAAGTTGAGCATTGTTTTTTCCAGGCTTGAGACCTGTTCTGCCCACCATAATGTTTGTTTTTGATTTGATCCAGGTATGGAAGTGCGGCAGAACCACAAAGATTACAACCAGGTGTTGCTGGACGTCCGACGCTCCGTCCGCAGGTTCCCTCCAGGTGAGGTGAAGGGAAGTATTATTGTGTTGTTGAAGGCTTTCGTGGCCGGAATCACTGGGTTGCTGTGGGTTTTCCAGGCTGTATGGGCTAAGTTTTCCGGACTGTATTGTTATTGTTGGTCTTATTGTTATTGTTGGCATTATTATTATTCCACTCTTGACATGCACAGAGTGCAAACACAAATTTTGTTACTTGCAAATGTCACAAATAACTTTCAGGACATGGATGGTCATCTGTCGGGGTACTTTTGATTGTGCTTTTCCTGCATGGCAGGGGGTTGGACTAGATGGCCCTTGCGGTCTCTTCCAACTCTATTATTCTATGAACAAAGAAATTCATGAAAAGGAAGAATGAGGCTCGAGTCCTTCCATATGATAATATTATTCCTCAGTATGATGCAGCAGCAAAAGAAGCCAGTGGGACTCTAGGTTGCATCGAGAGGAGTTCTAGGTCACGGGAAATCTATTCTGCTTTGGTCAGACCTGTCAGTGTCATCGGCCACACAGCAAGCCAGGAAACACGATCAACACAGCCACTTTAGGCTATAAACTACTTTATTTTACAGCTATATACATTAGAAGCTACTTAACATTCAGCACATCCAACCGTAACATCACCAACACACGAACTGCCTGTTATCAGTACTAGTCCACACCTCTTGCATTCCAGAGTGACGTATGACATACGATGCTGCATCCATTTGACCTCTCTAGGAATGCCGTTCCCTCCATGGTTCAGTTAACTCTTTCCACACAAAAATACATTTCCCTCGGCACATAGCACTTCATTTTAAACATACATACATACTTTGAAATGTACACTATAAATTGCAAACAACTTCAACAAAACCCCCATCTGGAATGTCAACAGGGAGAAATGTTTGACACCCCGCTTAGGCAGAAAACATGAAATGCACACATATAGAACGAGAGGCTTGAAAACAGGGTTGGGCTGGATACAAATAATAATAATAATAATAATAATAATAATAATAATAATCTTTATTTGTTACCCCGCCACCATCTCCCCAATGGGGATTCACAGCGGCTTACACGAGGCCAAGCCCAAATGACAATTACAATTAAAAAAACCAAAAACACAAACTGAAAACGCGAACAATAAACAATAACATCATAATTAAATTAAATAAAACACATGAATACATAACAATATGAAAAAAAAATAAGCACAGGCAGTATAAAGGGCGGGGAACGTGTAGTAATCAAGAAGACAAATACTTTTCTGAAACACACTCCTTCCAATCAGGGAAGGAGCCAGTGACCAGACTTTGCAATCCATTGCAGACCTGTCTGTTGCCCTGCAAATACACACACCATATCTCTCCTTCCCATGGAGCAGAGCATGGTGGGTGGACCAGACTCATCCAGTCTGCCACACTTTTTGGATTGTAATAAGGTCTCTTATATAGCAATATTTCTTACTAATGTTGTTCCAAAGTTGTAAATCGGTGATAGATGTTTTTCCAGCCCGACACATGTTGATTCCCATCAGTTCCAGACAGATGTTGACTCTCCTTAATTGGTGTTAGTAAACGTAAGGAGCCTTGTGTTTACTTCCTTTGGTTTCCTTAATTTAAAAGAGCCATTCTCTTTGACTGCAAACGTATTGTTTTCCACCAAGAGTTCATTAGTTAATCATTAGTCACAGTTCTTATCAGCAACTTTTAATTATAGTTCAGCAGTGTAGCTGTTTTCTAAGCCTCAATATTTTAGAATTGTGTCTTCAGCCCAATTATGCCTCATTCATATTCCCTTCATACAATTCCATTCAAACCATACATCCTATTTATCCATGACAGCTGGATGGCCATCTGTCGGGAGGGTTCAGTTTGTGTTCCCTTTATGGCAGAAGGGGGTTGGGCTGGATGGTCCAAGGAATCTATTCCATCACTAATATATTAGGATTCTGTCCTTGGAGGTCTGTAAATACTGACTGATGGCCATCTGTCGGGAGGGCTCGGATTGTGCCTTCATTTGTGGCAGAAGGGGGTTGATCTGGATGGTCCTCAGGGTCTCTTCCAACTAGGATATTAGAATTCTATCTTTGGAGGTCTGTAAATGCAGACTGGATGGCCATCTGTCAGGAGGGTTCAGTTTGTGCCTGTTGTGGCTGAGATGTTGAGGATGAGGATGATGGGATTCCGATTCTTGGCTCTTTTTCTGTGCCTCAGATCTCTGGGCCTGTTTCTAGGTCTTTTTCTGAGGCTCCCACAGACAGTGCAGAGTCAACACTGGTTATCAAGAAGATAACCAACACAAGAAGATCAACACAGTGGTTATCAAGAAGAAGAAAGGAATGTCAATAATGAAGTAGATAGCGAACAGGTGGAGAAGCCTTCCCACGCTGATACTGAAAGTGCAGAAAGCCTTGATAGTGACCTGACCCGGCAAGCCCATCTTGATTTGCGGGTCAGGAGGAGTTCTCGCCTAGCCGGCAGACGGAGAAGCCAGCTCGGGGAAAGGTCATCGCAATGCTTTCATGTTGGTGAGAGCATAATGTTTTCATGTTAGAAAGGTATTTAGGCTTCTTGCAAACTGAGTGAAAGTGTCAGTTCAACGTAGCTTATTAGCCTGAAAGCTTCATGGAATAACCTTAGCCGGAAAGCAGTACGCTTGGGGTTTCTTGCATTGTGATTCTTGGGGCAATTGTTTCATTGCTTGTACCTTGGAATCTGTTTTGAACTTTGCCTATAGGATTGTGCCTCTTGTTTTTACCTGAAGATCTTTGGAACTATATTCTGCATTTAACCTAAATCTTTGGAACTTTGCAATGCTTATTCTTTACTTTGACTTGGACTTTTTCCTCAATAAACTATAAAACTACAGCTCTTGTGTGGTGGTGTTTGGAAGCAAGGCGAAGTTTATTCATTTATTATTTATTTCATATATTTCTACCCCGCCCTTCTCAACCCCTGAGGGGGGACTCAGGGCGACTTACAAAAAGGCACACAAATACAATAACATATAAAACCAGCAATTAAATGGTCAACAATTAAAAACAATTAAAACAACAATATATCACACAATCAATAGCCAATCTCAGACACAGCGTTCGCCACTCAGAGTTCATATTTCGTTCCGCCTTGTCCAGTTCCTATTTATCATCACAGTCCCTTATTCACCTGCCAGATTGCCCAAACGCCTGGTCCCACATCCATGTTTTTAATTTCTTTCTGAAGGAAAGTGGGGATGTTGCTGATCTGATCTCCCCGGGGAGTGAATTCCATAGGTGAGGGGCCACCACTGAGAAGGCCCTGCTCCTCGTCCCCGCCAATCTCACTTGTGACAGAGGTGGGGTCGAGAGCAGGGCCGCCCCAGAGGATATCAAACTCCGAGATGGGACGTAAAGGGAGATGCGTTCGGACAGATACACTGGGCCGGAATCGTACAGGGTTTTGTAGGTCAAAACTAGCACTTTGAATTGTGCTCGGAACTGGATCGGCAGCCAGTGGAGCTGACATAGCAGGGGGGTGGTATGCTCCCTGTATGACGCTCCGGTGAGCAATCTGGCTGCCTCCCGCTGGACTAATTGAAGTTTCTGAACAGTCTTCAAAGGCAACCCCACGTAGAGTGCGTTGCAGTAATCTATCCGGGCTCAGATCGTGCCTGTCTTTATGGTGAAATGGGGTTGGACTAGATGACTGTAAGGGTTCCATACCAGACCTCCGCTTGCCCTCACCTCTGCCCACAGGGATGCCCGAGGCCCAGCGCCAGGTCTTGCAGGAGCAGCTGACGGACGCCATCCTGCACGTGCTGAGATCCCACCCGGAGCTCCACTACTACCAAGGCTACCACGACATCGCGGTGACGCTGCTGCTGGTCGCCGGGCAGCGCATGGCCATGGCTCTCCTGGAAAGGCTCTCCTTGCTCCATCTCAGGTAGGCTGCCTTGCTCCAGTAATGTACATAGATCTTAAATACACTGCGCAAACCCACATATTCACCCTCATGCTCCATAAGAACGTGACAGTGAAACAGTGAAGAGCATATACTGGTGACTGCAACAACTCCTCTCCGTCCAAGAATGCTGGGAGTTGTAGTCTAAGACCATCGGAACAGTCATGTTTTGCCCAACCTTCATGTATCAATGGAGACTGTAAACTCTTGTGCTACTTTGGACAACTCCCATCATGTAATCAAAGTCAATGCAGTCTGGAGTTTGTGGGATTTAGAGTCCCAAATATCTAGAGGATGCCACATCTGCGTCTTTGCAGTGTTTCTGGCATTTTGTCTTATTCATTTACTTACAGTATTTATATTCGGCCCTTCCCACCCCGCAAGGGATTCAGGGCGGATCACAATGCACATATACATGGCGAACATTCTGTTGCAATCCAGAGCAGGGAACGAGACCATTAGATAGCAAACCACCACACTAAATTGTGGGAAAAACAATCCTTTTTTACTGATGAAAAATGTTACAAAATAGAAGAAAATGCAAAGTCAAAAAGCCACATAAAAATTCAGCAGTCAAGAATATCCATGAACTTGATCAAAATTCCAAAAGCCACACTGTAAAAACCTGGAAGCTGTTAGCAAACCACTAACCGTCCTTGGAGAACTAGAAGCCTCTTGGAATGTAGGCCACAAGAAACGGGAAATCTGCCAAGGTAATGCCTCAGTCTAAACGATGCCTGATCTAACGAGACAACCCAGTGAGAGGCACTTAAAGCTGAAGAAACTGTTTCGTGACACGCCTCCAGGCTTTGAAGTCTGTGTTTCCCTTTCCCTTAATCTGCTTGAACTTCGCAGACTCTGCGATTCACTCCTGTTTTTCCAAATCTGCCTCTTTCTATCCTCATTAAGGAAGCCAGGTGCTAACTCCTCTGGAGAGATATCGCCGCTTGGCTCTGCAGAATTCTCATCAGAATATGTAGTTTCACTTTCCAAGCCACTGACCTCAGTATTAACACTTTCATTACCATCAGGGAAAAATACATGTTCAGTAACACCAGGACAAACAATCAGAGAATCAGGTTCAGGTTCAGCAATCAGAGAATCAGGTTCAGGAATCAGAGAAACAGGTTCAGGTTCACACGCAGGCGGAACCCCAACACATTCAATGCCATGGACACACAACATATATAGACAGACACACAGAGGCTATTTAACTTTCCAGCTTCATGAGGGTATGCTTTGAATTCCGGCCACCGGGGGAGCTGTCGCTTCACCATCCACTTGTGACACCGATGGAATACTTCCTCATTCTTTTCCACGCTGCTGGAGAGTTTTATGGTGTTGTAAATTAGTTACATTAGCCTCCCCGGATATGCAGTATCTGAATTTCCTACTTGACAGATGCAACTGTCTTTCGGGCTGCAAAGGTCAACAGCAAGCTAGATATTTATTTATTTTATTTTATTTATAGTATTTATATTCCGCCATTCTCACCCTGCAGGGGACTCAGGGCAGATTACAATGTACATATACATGGCAAACATTCAATGCCATAGACACACAACATACATAGACAGACACTCCGAGGCTATTTAACATTCCAGCTTCTGGCCACCAGGGGAGCTGTCGCTTCCTCATTCTTTGCATACTTCCTGGAGATTTTTATGGCCTCGTAAATCAGTAAAAATTGCCTCCCCACAAAGTGGTATCTAATTTTCCTACTTGACAGATGCAACAAAGGTTGACAACAAGCTACACCATTTTGGTTGGGAGCTCACTCCAACCCAGGCTGGCTTCGAACTCATGACCTTTCGGTCAGTAATGATCTTAATGCAGCTGACTCCCAGCCAGCTGCACCACAGTCCCGGTGTGCGCCACAATCCCAGCGCACACTGGATAAATGGTCAGGAGCTTTTACTCCGACCGGGTTGACTTCAAACTCATGACCTTTTTGGTCAGTAGTGATTTTAATGCAGCTGACTCCTAACCAGCTGCACCACAACCTGTCTAGAGAGCCTAAATGGCTTGAGAATCCAAATGGAGAGTCTCTAATGGGGCTTTTTTGGTGACATTCTGCAGATTTTGGAGACTTGTTATGGGTTGCTGAATTCAGGCCCAGGGCAGCACATGCTCTCCTTCTAGACATGGGTAAACTAATGGCATCCGTGCCCAACTTTAGGGTTTAAATGCTTTGAGTTTGGTTGGCTCCTACCACACTTCCACTCTTCTTCCTTCTGCAGGGACTTCATGGACCCCACCATGGACAGCACCAAGCACATCCTCAATTACCTGATGCCAATCCTGCAGCGGGAGAGGCCCCGCCTCCATGACTTCATGCACAGGTACTCACTTTTCCCATTATTGGGTGGTCAGTGCCATGCCATGGTCAGGTCATTCTTACACAGGAGAAAATATTCTGAATAATGAAAAATGGGCTGGATGATTGCGGTTAGTTTTGGAAAAGCATGACTTTTGAGATCATCATCTTTTGGAAAACCAGAATCTCCAAAGTCTTTTGGAAGCGTCACCCTTTTGGAGATTGTACAGGAGTTGATTATAAATTGTATGATTTTAACTGTATTTGTGTTTAGATTGGCTGCAGTAATGCTGGAGTGGCCTAAGTCAGAGGAGTCCTCCATGTGCGTTGCCATGGAGACCGATGCAGAAGAGAGGGAAGTGGGAGGAGCTTAGAGGGGAGAGTTTGAAAAAACGACAGTTAAAAATCAGTTAGGGTTTAGGTTTTGAGGTGTGAACAGTCCGGGTTAGGTTCAGGAGAGTTAGGAGTTAGGTTCAGAGGAGTGAGGAGTTAGGAGTTGGGAGAGAAGGAAAGGAAAGGTGGCTGAGTGACTTGTGAAGCAAAGCTTTGAGGCTTTGAAAAGCTGGGTTTGGCTATTGGAAGTTTCTCAGGCTAATGCAGCCGAATGGTGAAACAGAGCTGGTATTCTTTTAGTCTAAGGAGAGGCTAAAGAATAGTTTACTTAGTATTTGATCTAGGGAGGATCAAACAAGGGAAACATCCCTGTATTGAAACTTTGTCTGAAACAAGTGCTCTATGTCAGAAAGATACTGTGTTACTTGAAAGAATGAACTGTTAAAGTTACAAGTATTATTCCAAGTGCAACAAGGAAAAGTTACGTCTTGCAACTACACGCTGTGTACTTAATAAAATTGTTAACTTTTATTTGAAGATTGCCTCAGCTCCGTCTATTCTGTGTTCAAAGTGCCATTTCTCACAATATTACAACTTACCTCACGTGGTGGCAGAAACGCAGGGAAAAGTAACCAAATAAAACTACATTCTTCTCTCCAGTCACGCTACAGTATATACAGTGTAATTACTACTAAGTTATTACTTTCTTAGTAAAGGAGGAGGTGCAATTGAACAGCCTCCCTTCCAACTTGATGGTAAATTTGGTTCCTAATCGGCAACCTCCATTGCAAATCGGCCAGTTCTTTTTAAAATTGGGAACTGGGGTAAAATCTCCTGAATACTAGTTCCTTTCAAATTGGTGGCAACAATAAATCATCCCTCTGCTCCCTTGCTTCTTTTCAGAGATTAACATGCATTCAGTAAGTAAGCAACAGGATTATATACCAACAAATTACTAGGGGAGGCTTGAAGAAAGTTGTAACTTCCAACACAGCGTAATGGAGTTTGGGGTCTCGTGACCGGTGGGGTGTCTCTATCCTCCTTTCCTTTCAGGGCCGAAGTGGGCACCATCTTTGCCCTGAGCTGGCTGATCACCTGGTACAGCCACGTCCTGGCCAACGTCCACCACACTCTGCGCCTCTACGACTTCTTCCTGGCCTCTCACCCGCTCATGGCTGTCTACTTTGCAGCAGCTGTAAGTCCAAATTGAAGGCTTGAACATTTCAAGGTGTCATTAATACTTTTGCCGCATCCTGCAACCTGGAATGAGCCTGGGATGGCGTGGTGAGGCGGCAGAGGATGATGGGCTCTGCGCTTGGTGTCTCCTGCCTCCTTTCTGGATTCCGAGCCACGTATAGGTGGGGCCTTTGGGGGTGCAAGGCCTGCGGGGAAAGAGGGACTCCCAGCGAGGGACATCTTTGCTTTGCTCCAGCTGGGACGCCAGAAGGTCCGCACTGGGGGCGCCTCAAGAGCACCCTTCGGGGATTTGCGCTATGTGCAAATGCATATGTTGCCTATTGCTTCAGCCGCCCCTAACTGTAAATAGATAGATCAGTGTTTCTCAACCTGGGGGTCGGGACCCCTGGAGGGGTCGCCAGGGGATGTCAGAGGGGTCACCAAAGACCACCAGAAAACACAGTATTTTCTGGTGGTCATGGAGGTTCTGTGTGGGAAGTTTGGCTCAATTCAATCCTTGGTAGGGTTCGAATGCTTTTTGATTGTAGGTGAACTATAAATCCCAGCAACTACAACTCCCAAATGTCAAGGTCTATTTCCCCCAAACTCTATTAGTGTTTACATTTGGGCATACTGAGAATTCGTACCAAGTTTGGTCCAGATCCATCATTGTTTGAGTCTACCGTTCTCTCTGAATGTAGGTAAACTACAACTCCCAAAACTCAAGGCCAGTGCCTACCAAACCCTTCCAGTATTTTCTGTTGTTCATGGGAATTCTGTGTGCCAAGTTTGATTCAGTTCCATCGTTGATGGAGTTCAGAATGCTCTTTGATTGTAGGTGAACTATATATCCCAGCAACTACAGCTCCCACAGGACAAAATCAATAACCTCCCCCAAGCTGTTACTATTCATAACAGCAGCAGAATGAGTTATGAAGTAGCAACGAAACTAATTTTATGGTTGGGGGGTCACCATAACATGAGGAAGCGTATTAAGGGGTCGTGGCATTAGGAAGGTTGAGAACCACTGAGATAGATAGATAGATAGATAGATAGATAGATAGATAGATAGATAGAGAGAGAGATAGGAGTGCTTTCTGTTTAGCATTCTGAACTAATCCCAGATTCATTTCTTTCCAGAGAGATTTGGAAAAGAAAGGCCTTTGGATAAAGATATTTGAAACCACATACGATCAAGTGTGGTACCCACCAAACATTTGGGACTCTGAACCCCATCATCCCCAGACAGCACAGCACATGATTAGACGATGGGAGTTACCCAAAGTCACTGAAGGGTTTAGCATGGTAGTCAAGTTGGTCTAGAAGTCTGAACTGGCAAAACAAGATGGATGTTCTTAGGCTACTTCTAGCATCTTTCACCATTAGCCATGAGCGTAAGGCAGTGGTTCTCAACCTGGGGTCCCCAGATGTTTTTGGTCTTCAATTCCCAGAAATCCTAACAGCTGGTAAACTGGCAGGGATTTCTGGGAGTTGTAGGCCAAAAACATCTGGGGACCCCAGGTTGAGAACCACTGCCGTAAGGTTTTCATTTGGGACTGCCACTCCAAGCATGCTGGCTGGTGAATTCTACACGCATCAGTCCAAAAAGACCCCTTAATCTATTGCTTTGGACGGTCCGTCTTGTAGCATTTGGGCGAAAGGGACCAAGCCCAGGTCTTGTGTGTGTGTCTTGATTTGGTGCCTTGAGGGTATTGAGGCCTCCTTTGCCCCTCGCCCGCAGATCGTCCTCCACCGCGAAGAGGATGTCCTGGCCTGTGAGTGCGACATGCCCAGCCTCCACCAGCTCCTCTCCCGCATCCCCCAGGACCTGCCTTACGAGACCCTCGTCCTCCGCGCCCAGGGGCTCTTCCGGCGGCATCCGCACACCGAGCTGGCCAAGCAGGCTGCCCTCCAGGCCCACAAGAGGTGAGAGGAGCAGGTTATGAACCATACTGCACCGTTTTGGAAGTTGTAGTTTGGCAAGGTCATTTGCCTTCTCTGCCGAAGAGTGCGGGTGTCTCACCAAACTGCAACTCCCAGGATTCTGTTACAATGAGCCACACAGTATGTCACAGCAAACAAGATCTATATGCTGGATTTCGTATCACATATTCACAAGTCGAACATTTCCCAAGCGTCTAGGACAGTGTGATGTATTTTTAAATGGTGCATGCAGATCCAAGTCAGGTGACCTTTTGCAGTTGACAGGTCGTGATTTTCTCAATGTTTATTGTTTACAAATGATGGCTGAGGTCTTTTGGCACGACACCCAGTGTGCCCATTACCACTGTGACCATCTGTGCTGGTTTATGCCAGAGCCTTTGCAGTTCAGTTTTGAGGACCTGAGAACAGCTGAGTTTTTCCTGTTGTTTTTCCTCAGTGCAACTGTCACCTGGAATGGCGACATCAATAATCTAGACTTTTTTCTTTTCCACAATCGTGATTTCCAGTGTATTGTGTTCCAAAACTTTGTCAGTTTGGATTCGAAAGTCCCACAGTCTTTTTGTGTGTTCATTTTCCACGACCTTTTCAGGTTGAGGATCCCTTTACCAGTTCTTTACTACTGGCAGGTTGCCCTTGTGACATAAGTTACAGTGAATCATTTGGGTCACAGAGTTGTGCCTCTGTTTGTAGTCCGTCTGTGTTTCTATATGTCCATGTCCTTATACCCTGTTTGCCTGAAAGTAAGACATCCCCTGAAAATAAGACCTAGTAGAACAGCGGTTCTCAACCTGGGGGTCGCGACCCCCAGAGGGGTCATTTGACCATTTCTCAGGGGTCGCGGCACCACCTCATTAGGCCCTGCCCCCTCCTGCAGGCCCCATGTGTTGGGGTTCAGCCTGAGTTTGAACTTGAACCTGATTCTCTGTTTGTTCCTCCTGATGCTAATGAAAGTATATTTACTGATGCTAGTGGAAATGTACCTTTTGATGCCAATGCTCCTGAAATTAGTGAGGAAGAAACTGCTGTAGGTTTGGAAAATGCCAATGTTCCTGAAATTAGTGAGGAAGGAACTTCTGTAGATTTGGAAAATGAAAGTACCAGTGTTCATGAGAATGTTTCAGAGGGAGGCCTTGAACTTTCCCTCCCTTCTGCACCTGTTAACTGTAATGACAACAGAAGGGGCCAAATTTGGGAAGACAGAAGTAAATCACTCAGTTTGCGTCGATCCTCCCGAATTCAAGAATTAAAAACATTGGCTTCAAAACAGAAGGGCGGTTCACGGAACCAATTCTTGAGTTTTAATTGCCTTACGCCGGGCTGACTTTCTCAGTTCAGGCATCGTTTCAGAATTGATGAAGACCTTGGCAGTTCTCCCGGTTCCCTGGCCATCGTCTTGAAAGATTTCTAGGATATCCAAGTACGGTTAGTGGATTGCTAACAGGTTCCAGTATTTTACAGCATGGCTTTGGGTTTTGATCTTGTTCATGGAAATTCATGTTTGCTGATTTTGCAGTGGCTTTTGACTTGCATTTTTCCTTTATTTTGTAACCATATTTCTTCAATAAAAAAGGATTGTTTTTCACAGCCAAGTGTGGTGGATAGTTATCTTAGGGCCTCGTTCCCTGCTCTGGATTGCAACACTATGCGCCATCCACAGGGTGCCAGAAAGGTCCCGAGACGCCTAGGCCTTCTCCCGGCATTGGTAAGAGCACAGGGAATGAGGGTTGGTGCAGGAACCGCATGCCCAGGAGCCCTGCACTGGCTCTCATCTCCCGTGCTCTTGCCAACGCCAGGAGAGGGATGCTCTCCAGTGTTGGGAAGTGTGTGGGGGAAGAGGGTTGGTGCAAGGTGAGAAGGACACTCTCCGACATTGGCAAGCGTGCTGGGACACTCTCCGACGTTGGCAAGCGTGCTGGGGAGGAGGGCTGGTACCAGGCGCTCCCTGCAACACCGGGAGAGGGACACTCTCCAGCATTGGCAAGAGTTTAATGAATAGGTTCTTGTGGGTTTTTTTCGGGCTATAGAGCCATGTTCTAGAGGCATTTCTCCTGACATTTCGCCTGCATCTATGGCAAGCATCCTCAGAGGTATGAGGTCTGTTGGAATTAGGAATGGGTTTATATATCTGTGGAATGGCTGGGGTGGGGCAAAGGAGCTCTTCCTGTCTGCTAAAAATGAGTTTTTCCAAAGAGCTCCACCTTCATTAGCATTTGAAGGCCTGCCTGAGCCTGGGAAAATCTTTTGTTGAGAGGTGTTAAGATGTGCCTGGTTGTTTCCTCTCTGTTGTTTTGCTGTTGTAATTTTAGAGTTTTTTTAATACTGGGAGCCAGATTTTGTTCATTTTCATGGTCTCTTCCTTTCTGTTGAAATTGTCCACATGCTTGTGGATTTCAATGGCTTCTCTGTGTAGTCTGACATGGTGGTTGTTGGTGTGGTCCAGCATTTCTGTGTCCTCAAATAATATGCTGTGTCCAGGCTGGTTCATCAGGTGCTCTGCTATGGCTGACTTCTCTGGTTGAAGTAGTCTGCAGTGCCTTTCATGTTCCTTGATGCGTGTCTGGGCGCTGCGTTTGGTGGTCCCTATGTAGACTTGTCCACAGCTGCATGGTATACGGTAGACTCCTGCAGAGGTGAGAGGATCCCTCTTGTCCTTTGCTGAACGTAGCATTTGTTGGATTTTCTTGGTGGGTTTGTAGATTGTTTGTATGTTGTGTTTCCTCATCAGCTTCCCTATGCGGTCAGTGGTTCCCTTGATGTATGGCAGGAACACTTTTCCTCTGGGTGGATCTTCATCTTTACTCTCGTGGCTTGTTCTTGGTCTTGCAGCTCTTCTGATGTCTGAGGTGGAGTCTCCATTGGCCTGGAGAGCCCAGTTGAGGTGGTTCAGTTCATCTTGGAGGTGGTGGGCTTCGCAGATTCTTTTTGCACGGTCTGCCAAGGCTTTAATGGTGCTTCTTTTTTGACTTGGGTGATGGTTGGAGTTTTTATGTAGATATCTGTCTGTGTGTGTGGGTTTTCTGTAGACGGTGTGACCCAATTGTTGATCTGGTTTGCGGATGACGAGAACATCTAGAAAAGGCAGTTTTCCTTCATTTTCTTTTTCCGTGGTGAACTGGATGTTTGGGTGGATGCTGTTCAGATGGTCCAGGAACCTGTTGAGTTCTTCTTCTCCATGGCTCCAAATGGTGAAGGTGTCATCCACATATCTGAACCATATCGTGGGCTTTTTGGTTGCTGTTTCCAGGGCTTGTTCTTCAAAGTGTTCCATGTAGAAGTTAGCTATGACCGGGCTGAGAGGGCTCCCCATAGCTACTCCATCTTTCTGTTCGTAGAATTCATTGTCCCACTGAAAGTAACTGGTGGTGAGGCAATGGTGAAACAGAGCCGTGATGTCTTCTGGGAACCTCTGGTTGATGAGTGCCATGGTGTCTGCTACCGGGACCATGGTAAATAGAGATACCACATCGAAGCTGATCAGTTTGTCGTTTAATGAATAGTTTAATGAACGATTCCCATGTTTTTATGACAGATCCAATTAGGAAATGACATTTAGGAACCAGGAACAAAAAGAATAGTGTTACATCAGGCATGGGCAAACTTGGGCTCTTCAGGTGTTTTTGGACTTTAACTCCCGCAATTCCTAACAGCCTATCGGCTGTTAGGAATTGCGAGAGTTGAAGTCCAAAACACCTGGAGGGCCCAAGTTTGCCCATGCCTGTGTTCCATTGAGGAATTAGATTTTGAAAAATTGCAATGTCAGGATACCGCTGAAAAATAAGCGATCCCAAGGATTGTTGTTACTAATAGATCTAAGGAAGTAATGCTACCCCTCTATTCTGCTTTGGTTAGACCACATCTAGAATATTGTGTCCAATTCTGGGCACCACAATTCAAGAGAGATATTGGCAAGCTGGAATGCATCCAGAGGAGGGCGACTAAAATGATCAAGGGTCTGGAGAATAAGCCCTATGAGGAGCGGCTTAGGGAACTGGGCATGTTTAGCCTGAAGAAGAGAAGGCAGAGAGGAGATATGATGAGAGCCATGTATAAATATGTGAGAGGAAGCCACAGGGAGGAGGAGGGAGCAAGCTTGTTTTCTGCTTCCTTGGAGACTAGGACGCAATGGAGCAATGGCTTCAAACTACAAGAGAGGAGATTCCATCTGAACATGAGGAAGAACTTCTTGACTGTGAGAGCCGTTCAGCAGTGGAACTCTCTGCCCCGGAGTGTGGTAGAGGCTCCTTCTTTGGAAGCTTTTAAGCAGAGGCTGGATGGCCATCTGCCAGGGGTGATTTGAATGCAATATTCCTGCTTCTTGGCAGAATGGGGTTGGACTGGATGGCCCATGAGGTCTCTTCCAACTCTTTGATTCTATGATTCTATGATTTATTTATTTATTTGAGGTTCTTCTACCCCGCCCTTCTCAACCCCCGAGGGGGGACTCAGGGCGGCTTACAAAAGGCACAATTCGATGCCTAACAATTACAACATACAATGCAATATACAATACACAAATTTACCACATAATATCACAGTTATAACTGATTAAAACAATCAGACAGCATACTAGCAGCAATAAAAACATCTAGTGGTCAGTGTTCACCAAATCCAAGTCTGTAAACCATTTAGCATTGTCATTGTCCTTTCCTACTCTGGTCATTATTGGTTGTCTTTGTCCATCTGCCAGCTTACCCGAAGGCCTGGTCCCACATCCAGGTTTTTAGCTTCTTCCTGAAGGAGAGGAGGGATGTTGATGTCCTAATTTCCCCGGGGAGTGCATTCCACAGGCGAGGGGCCATCACCGAGAAGGCCCTGTCCCTCGTCCCCACCAGTCTCGCTTGTGATAAAGGTGGGGCCGAGAGCAGGGCCCCCTCAGCAGATTTTAAACTCCGAGGTGGGACGTAGAAGGCGATACGTTCGGAGAGGTACGCTGGGCCGGAACCGTAAAGGGATTTGTAGGTCAAAACCAGCACTTTGAATTGTAAGTACCATAGTACAACAATATAGTAACAAGGTTTGGAGCTTCAGTGGAAATAGTAATAACAACAACAACAACAGACGATGCTATTGGAAAGTGAGATTAATAGGAAGACACTGGTGAATATGTTTTTAATTGTTTTTGTATTGCATTGGTTTTATATTGATTTTATAATGCTGTTTGAAATGTTTTAATTGTATATTGTCGATTGTTATGGCCAATTTGTAAGCCGCCTTGAGTTGCCTTCAGGCTTGAGAAAGGCGGGATAGAAATGTCATAAATAAATAAAATAAACAGCTACAACAACAACTCTTCCAAGAGTGGATTTCCCTGTCTTCCGAGGGGTAGATTGATTCCTCTCACTTCCTGTTATCTCGTCCCCATTCTTAACTTGAGTGGTTTGTAAGTCGGGGACAGCCTGTATTAATCCGCTTTCGTTGTTTCCTTTCCTCCCCTTTGGAAGCATCAGCATCGGCTCCTTCCTGGAGTTCCAGCAGGCTGCCTCTTGCCAGCGTCCGGACACCATCCTCCTCCGACAGCAGCAGCAGCGCCGGACCTCGAACCCCAGACCGGAGTCTCTCCTCTCCACCACGGAGCACAGTCCGCTGGTCAAGGCGGCCGTCTGGGGCATTTCAGCCACTTTAGGGGCCGCCGCTTTGGCCGTCACCCAGACCGCCTTGGAGTGGGGCCCCGAGTTCCTCCTCCAGCTCTTCTAGCAAGGACTACGAGAGCCATCTTCACCCAAGGTCTTCACACAAGGTCTTCACCCCATTTCGTCTGACTGGGTGACACTCTCTCAGCCTCGGAAGGCAAACCACTTCTGCACAAATATTGCCAAGGAAGCCTGCTTGGAGTCGATCTTCCAGGGATAGACTGTATAGTTGCACTTTGAGTGCTGACCTCTGATTTTGGGAGGCCAGAGTTCGAATTTGTGGTTGGGCTTGGGCGCTAGGCATATGCAATCCATAGTTCGAAATGGTTCTAAAGTACTTACAAAACTAAAGTTCTGGTTGTGAACACTAGGGGGCGCTGGTGCTTTGCTTCTACAGTGTTGCTAAAGTTCTGGTGGTGAAAATTTCAGAACTCTAACACAACTTTCAAAATGTCATTATTACTTCATTGTTGGTGATTTTTATGACAGAACCTCTTAGTAACTGATGAAGTACTTCCGCATTCCCCGCATGCTTTTGCTGGAGTGCTTTGTGGAGTCGATGCCCCCCACAATATAAAATATAATTTGAAACATGTAGCATATAATATAAAACCCATACAAAACCAATAAAAACACATAAATCCTGAGCGTCTCCTTACTAAAATCATTTTCCAATCGCATCATCAGTCGTTCCGTAGATCTATATTTTGCCTATTACACTGCATTTGCAAATGCTTACTCGAAAAGCCAGGTTTTAAATAATAATACAATAATAAAAATAATACAGTCTCTCTACTTAGTTATCAGAAGAATGTCCTTGTCTTGCCGTAAACAAGCAGTTTCTCTGGCACTCCAAACGGCTTCAGCTTCAGGACGCTGCGTGACCACTCCCAGCAAATATAATTATAAGTGGCAGTTCCTAAGAGGTTCTGTCATAAAAATCACCAACAATGAAATAATAATGAAATTTTGGAAGTTGTGTTAGAGTTCTGTAATTTTCACCACCAGAACTTTAGCAACACTGTAGAAGCAGAGCACCACCGCCCCCTAGTTTTCACCACCAGAACTTTAGTTTTGTAAGTACTTCAGAACCATTTAGAACCATGGATTGCACATGCCTATTGCGCACAATGCACTCAGAGGGAAAGCCAGGCAAACCTGTTTGGTGACCATCTTTGGTGCTGCTGGCCCAGGACTCTGCCCTACTTCAGCCACTGGGTGGACCTTTGCAAGGCACACTCTCTCAGCCTCGGAACAGTGCAAGGGATCTTGCCAAGAAACACATGAAAGTTCACAATGGACCCCTGATTCTGCACCCCCAAATCCATCCGTTGTGGTCACCTATTTTTTCAGCGGCATCCTGACATTGCAATGACCTAGCGGTCAGCGAAGGTGGGCTGAGAGAGAGGCTCCTTGTGGCTGGAAGCGTCGCACATCAATGGTTCCATTCACCAAAATGCCAGCTCACAACCAAAGAGATTCTCTGCTGCTCCGAACCTTCCTCTGTTGCAATGGCTGAAGGGTGGCTGGTCTTCGTTATGTCTCCAGATATTAATTGAGTCCCATTATCGCCCCATTTTGGCCCAGTTTCAGTGCCCAGGGACTCAGTTGCCTTCAGTGATCCCTCGTGTGCCAAATTGAATTTTTCCAAGACTATATTTATTATGTATTTATAACATTTGTGCATGCCTTTCCTCTGCAAGTAAACCCAGCGTGTGTCTTTAATGCAGTTCAGCACCACTTCATTCACCAGGGCTCAATGCTATGGAAATCCTGGGAGCTGTAGTTTTCCAAGACCGGGAGTTGTAGTTTTTCAAGACCGGGAGTTGTAGTTCTACAAGACCGGGAGTTGTAGTTCTACAAGATTGGGAGTTGTAGTTCTGCAAGATTGGGAGTTGTAGTTCTATAAGACCGGGAGTTGTAGTTCTACAAGATTGGGAGTTGTAGTTCTGCAAGATTGGGAGTTGTAGTTCTGCAAGACCGGGAGTTGTAGTTCTACAAGATTGGGAGTTGTAGTTCTGCAAGATTAGGAGTTGTAGTTCTGCAAGACCGGGAGTTGTAGTTGTACAAGACCGGGAGCTGTAGCTTTACAAGACCGGGAGCTAAAGTTTTACAAGACCGGGAGTTGTAGTTTTACAAGACCGGGAGCTGTAGTTTTACAAGACCGGGAGTTGTTGTTCTACAAGACCGGGAGTCGTAGTTTTCCAAGACCGGGAGTTGTAGTTTTCCAAGACGGGGAGTCGTAGTTTTCCAAGACCGGGAGTCGTAGTTCTACAAGACCGGAAGTTGTAGTTTTCTAATACTGGGAGTTGCAGTCCTACAAGACTGGGGTTGTAGTTTTACAAGACCAGGAGTTGTAGTTTTACAAGACCGGGAGTTATACTACAAGACCAGCAGCTGTAGCTTTACAAGACTGGGAGTTGTAGTTTTACACTGTAGTCTGAATACACTTTAAACTGCCATGACTCAGTGCAATGAGACCCAAGGAGTTGTAGTTTTGTAAAACCTTCAGAGTGTCGGTGCCTCGGCAAACTACAACTCCCAGGACTCCACAGTTAAAAGTGGTTTTGAACTAGAGTTAAGTCTACAGTGTAGATGCACCCCTGGATCCAGTGGCTGGCTGCATCCAGAGCTTGGAAAAGCTTTGGGGGGAAATGGACTGCAAGGCCCAGTTTGGTGCAGAGTGATGGGAACTGTAGTCCTGATCCCCAACCTATTTATTTTGCAATGCTCAACTGGAAATGGTGCACAATAAACGGAGAGGTGGGTTGTTTTTCTCTGTTGCAAATCCTCCACTTGGTCTTACTACCTGCCTTAAAAGTTGTGCGTCTTACGTTGAAGACTTTGGCCTGCGTATTTTAATATGCATTTCGTCGAAATGTTTTGATATGGGCATTTTACAAAATATATTCAGATGATTGTGTGTTCCAGCGATGTTGTAACCCGCCTCGAGCCATGAAGAGAGGCGGGAAAGAAATAATAATAATAATAATAATTATTATTATTATTATTATTATTATTATTATTATTATGGAAAAAAGGACCCAGGTTCAGCTGGATTCAGGGGGTGGATCTACACTGTGGCTTTAATGCAGTTTGACGCCACTTTTTAACTGCCGTGGTTCAGTGGTACGGAACCAACAATGAAAACCTTGTGAAACTACAACTCCCATGAGTCCTTACATGGCACCAAAGCAGTTAATGTGGCATCAAACTGCATTAATTCTGCAGTGTAAACGGTGCAGCAAGGAAACTACAGAATCATAGAATCAAAGAGTTGGAAGAGACCTCCTGGGCCATCCAGTCCAACCCTATTCTGCCAAGAAGCAGGAATGTTGCATTCAAATCACCCCTGATAGATGGCCATCCAGCCTCTGCTTAAAAGCTTCCAAAGAAGGAGCCTCCACCACACTCCCCGGCAGAGAGTTCCACTGCTGAACGGCTCTCACAGTCAGGAAGGAACCTGAAAATGCAAAAGGAACCTGAAAATACAATATTTATTGAACTGTTGCTGGATCTGGTGTCAATAAATAAATCTTTTGGGGTTTGACCCCATTGGATCCCATGCTATGCGTTGCCTTATTTTAGCCGCTTCCAAATGCGCTGCTTTTAACCAATGTGCAGGTTGATATGCTTTTATGACCATTGTTAGCGTTGTCGATTAATTGTCTGCAACACTGCCCTGAGATCTTTGGAAGGAATAAATAAAATTAAGCGACCTTATTTACGTAGGCGATCCCTCATAGTCCGAGGATGATGGTCCTCCAAGTGATGTGTCTTGGCGATGGGTTTGTAGGTGGCTGTGGAGCCCGATTCTTGACCCACATGTTCTCCCTTCCGCAGTGAAGGTTGGCTTGATGCGCCTTCGTCTTGGCACGTTTCTCCCTTTCACCCTCCATTCGTGCCGCTTCAAATTCTGCAGCACTGCTGGTCACAGCTGACCTCCAGCTAGAATGCTCAAGGGCCAGGGCTTCCCAGTTCTCAGTCTCTATGCCAGAGTTTTTAAGGTTGGCTTTGAGCCCATCTTTAAATCTCTTTTCCTGTCCACCAACGTTCCGTTTTCCGTTCTTAAGTTCAGAGTAGAGCAACTGCTTTGGGAGACGGTGGTCAGGCATCCGGACAACGTGGCCGGTCCAGTGGAGTTGATGACGGAGGACCATCGCTTCAATGCTGGTGGTCTTTGCTTCTTCCAGCACGCGGACATTTGTCCACTTGTCTTCCCAAAAGATTTGCAGGATTTTTCGGAGGCAACGCTGATGGGATCATTCCAGGAGTTGCATGTGATGTCTGTAGACAGTCCACGTCTCGCAGGCGTATAGCAGGGTTGGGAGGACAATAGCTTTATAAACAAGCACATTGGTCCCCCTACAGATGTCCCGGTCCTCAAACACTTTCTGCTTCACTACCTCTCTGCTTCACTACCAACAGACCTCACTACCTCTGAGGATGCTTGCCATAGATGCAGGCGAAATGTCAGGAGAAATGCCTCTAGAACATGGCTCTATAGCCCAAAAAAACCCACAAGAACCTACTCTCTGCTTCATTTGGAAGAATGCTGCACTCGCAGAGCTCAGGTGGTGTTGTATTTCAGTCTCAATGTTGACGTCTGTAGACAGTCCATGTTTCGCAAGCATATAGCAGGGTTGGGAGGACAATAGCTTTATAAACAAGCACCTTGGTCTCCCTAAAGATGTCCGGGTCCTCA